GTTTATGCACCCATATATCTAAATCATCTATCTCCATCTATCATCTATCTATCTATCATCTATCATCTATCATCTAATCTATCTATCGTCATCTATCATCATTTTTTGCTAGAGCATTCTTAGGTAAGTTGCCAATATCAGGATATTTCACACTTAGATGTTGCAGTATGCATTTCCTGAGAATAAAGGTTTTTCTCCTATATGACCACAATATAATTATTACCCCCAAAATCCTGATACCCAGGCCACAACCTATATCAACTAAAGCAAAATCTCTGAAAGGCATCAATATTTTTTAAAGCCCCCAGGTGATTACAATGTACAACAAAAGTTGAGAATCACTGTCTACAGATTGATTAAATTCAAGTTGAACATTTTCAGGAAGAATGCATTGTTTTTATTTTTCAATGTGCATAAGAATGTGCTAGCCTTTTAGAGTTTAACAGATTTAAATTATAGACTTTAAGTCAGTGTTACAACAATGTACATTTCCTCAAGTTTTTCTTAGTACATTAATACAATTTTCTTTTTAAAAATTTAATATAAATATATTTGATCTTTATTTTCATTTCTATATCATGATTTAAAATGCATAAAATATGTATTGTTATATAGATTCCAAACACCTGTATCTTGAAAGCTAAATGGCTTTTAACAAAAATTTTATACATATATGTTATTTGATAAAATGCTTATCTACTTTTTATAATTTTTATATGTTTTTATTGATTTCAGAGAGAGGGAGAGGGAGAGATAGAAACACCAGTGATGAGAGATCACTTTTACTTGATAGTCTTGTAAAGTTAAAATATATAACAAAACCATCAACCACAAAACACACTTGTGTCTTTGTAGCTCATGCTGTAATGCCCTCCTCATCACACCCTCTTTCTGATCCTTACCAGTGGACTACCTTTCACCCACCACTCTCCTTTTCTGTAGAGCAGTGATCTTCAAACTTTATGAGCATTTGACTCACCTGGCAGACCTTGTTAAAGTTAGACTCTAACTGGGTAAGGACACCCAGAGATTCTTATAACTCCCAGGAGAAGCTGTGGGCCACTTTGAAGAGTAAAGGAGTAGATGAGCTATTTCTGCTATTATGTAATCTACTATAATCCTAATTCCCTGTTTGTGCTTTGGCACCTAGTCCCTCTTTTTAATAGCTAAGGTCCGTAACTGCTCCTTGTCTTTCTTAAGCAGCAAATATCAATTTCTCTACTCTCTCTCAACAGTTTAAGTATCACCCACTAAAAAACAAACACACACCAATTTAACTCTTTTCGCCCCCTAGCTACCATTTTAGGTCTCTCTCTTTCACAGCCAAACTTTTCAAAACATTAATTGTGTTTGCCAGTCATTTCATCTCCACTTCAATCTGAATTGCAGGTCCACTAACCCACCAACATAGTGTCACAGAAGTCACCAAGGACCCCATGTTGAGAAGTAAAAAAAAACCCATTTTCAGTTCTCATCTTGTTTGAACCTCTCAACAGCATTCAATACTGTTAACCACTCCCGACGTTTCTCCACCTTGCCCTCTATGCACAATAGTCCCCTTATTCTCGTTACCATTCCACCATTACTGCTTTTCAGTCGGTTCTGCAGTTATTAATGTTATTTGGGGCCTAGTCTCTTTTCTAGTATATAGTCACACCCTATAACCTCCATGCTCTGGTCACCTAAATGCAAATGACCTCTGAATTTCCCTCCAGCTCACACATCTTCTTTGAACTACAAACATGTACCCGCTACGGTCTACTTGATATCTTCTCTTAGATGTCCCAAAGGTACCTCACACCTAAGAGATCCAAAGCTAAATTAGTAATTTCTCACCAGTACGCGCCATCATCACATAGCCAGGTAGGTACACAGTCCAGAAAACTATGATGTTTTTGACACACCTTCTTTCCTCACGCTCACATGTCCGCCCCATCTTCCAAGGCCTCCCGAATACCTCTGGATCTATTCCACGTTCCTCCTCTCCATAATCACCTCCACCAGGGTGGCAGTAACTGCCACGTCTTGGCTGGGCTACTGCAAATGATTTCCTGAGTATTACTTCCACCCATTGCCTTCTGTTCCTCCCTCTTCCATCTGTCTGCCCCGAATATGCTGTTACTTTTGAAACACAAGTATGATCCCTTGTGCCCTTCTCCCCCCATCATCCTGAACTTGTCCTAGTCTCTGATCCCTGCCCGCCTCCCTCAAGGGTCATCGCTTGTGCTGCGTCACTGGCTTGGAATACTCTTCCCCTCCTTTCTTCTAGCTAAGCCTGTACCCTTCAGATCTCAGCTTAATCATCATTTTTTTTGGGGGGGGGGGAGCCTCTTTTCACCTCCACAACTAAGTCAAATTTATCTACTAGAAAATCGTATTGAGTCATGTGCGTCTCGGTTACAGCACTCGCCAAAAGCACGGTCCCTTTCTGTTCTTTGCTCGCCGCGGGTCTCCCCAGGACCAGCACAGCTCCTGGCACACTGGGGTTACCCTCCCCAAACGTCTCCGGATTTGCCTCCTGTGTGGGGGCATCGCCCCAGCTGGGGAATCCTGAGTGGGGCGGCCTTTCGCCGGCGCGCTCTTTCTGACACTGCGGTGCGACTATGGCAAAGGGCAGCACTGAATAAGTATTTGCTGGGATATTTAGATGCAAGTTATTGGGGAGCCGAAGATGATTCATAGGTTGATCAGGAGACTCGCAGAGCCGGTGAAAAAGTTTCAGCTAAAGAAGATGAACGAGTTTAATTGAGGGCTGCGCTGAATCTGAGGTAACAAGCTTGCTAGGCGGAAAGGGCTTAGAGGCCTTCAAGTTCAGGAATGGGTCCGCCTGGGGCGGGATGCCACCCCCTCTCGGCCCCGGGGGCCCCCGCAGGCAGCACGCCCCCCGCGCTCACGCTCTCGCTCCAACGGCCCAGAAAGCGTCAGGAACCTCGGGGCCACTTCAGAGGGCTCGGCCCCCCTCCGTTTCCTAGTCTCTCCTGTCATGCCTCTCGCGTCTTTTCTCCACCCCACGGCCCCTCCCGGGGACTTGCGCCCGCATCGTGGCGGCAGCGCCCGCGCTGCTCCCCCCCGGTGGCCGAGGCCTGGATTCCCGGGAACCACTGTCCCCTGCCTTCCCAGGGCGCCTTTCCCACGACGCCGGACTGTCCCTCTCCTGCTAAACACCTTTCACATCTGGGCCCTTTACCGAAGCTTCACGATTCGACCCTAAAACTCCCGAACGTCACTGCCAGGTCCTCTGTCCGCTGGTCTCAGCCCACTGCCCATCCCCTGGCGTCTCCCGCTTCCCTCTTCTTCGCTCCCTTCCCTTCGACCTAGTTGAAATCTAAGAATAGCAAGTTATTCTAGTTGGGGAGGAGATATTATCTAGTAGAGAGACAAAAAA